TCATCTTACTCACACTCATATGCTCCATATCTTAACTTAGACACACACTTACGCTCAAAATCTTAACTTAGATACACGTTATACTTATACACTTTGAATTGATAATTTTCGCGCTAATCGACCTTAACTTTGAACTAACAGACTAAAGAGACGGCAGCTATCAATACCAACCCACTTTATATTTAGAGCCACTCTTGTCAGACCGAATAGTGATATTTGAACGTCATTATTACAGATAATGGCATTTGTTATAACAGAGTCCCGTATTGACTTGATTCAAAAATAGAAATCATATTATTATTATTATTTTATAGTTTGATTATATTTTCTTGTTATCACTTGTTTTATAGTTATAATTATTTTTTATTTCTGCTTTTTCGAAATTACCTTAGTGGTCTCTAAAGAATAACAGTGTAGATTGTGATTATTTTTAGAATAGCAAAGAAATATACCATTCAGTGCAGCTGTGAATATTTCTTAATTTTTCGGAACAGTAAAGCTTTTTTTGGCCTACGAAAAAGTGTGGAATGAACAATACTATTTTAGCAAGTGGAGCCTAGATAATCAAGAATGAAGTGTCTGAAGAAACAACAGTTAACTTTAAATAAAACTGAATTTAAAAAGTTATAATAATTAACCTTTTTCTAATTTGTAATTGTTACAAATGCTGAGACTGAAACAAAAATAGTTACAATAAATCAATAACAGGATTTTTTACATTTTCTAGCGCTTATTATTTAGTTCAGTAGGCTTGTCACCAAAAGTGATACACATAAGGACGCTTCATATCAATTAACGTTTGTATTCTCCCACTACTTCACACAAGTACTTATGACATTACCAATTGTGTGTGTCACATATTATGTCAGTGCTTTAAAAATACACGCATCAAAATCAATATGTAAAAATATATCAGCGAGAAGCCAATGCTTCTTATACCATTATCTTTTGTGAAGTGTATACATGTAATATATTTACAGGCGAGCTGGAACATTCATTTTAAGTATCCTTCGAGCTAATTCGATTTATTCTTCATTTGTGCACCGATTACTGGGAGATGAATTAGATTATGTATGTAAACGCGGGGGTTTTCAGCCGGAAACATGACCCCCATCGCCATGATCGTTTAATGGTTGCCTCTTCAGCTCGCTCGCCCTCTTTTCGTTACCATGGAGAGCTTGCACATGCATTAGAGAAGAGTGTTAGGTTAGGACGTAATAACATTCTGTTCGACCCATTTCAATGTAAGTAGTAGCCGGTAGCCTTGGAAACACCATGGCAACAAGAAAGGGAGAGGAACAATGCCCTGGGGTTATAAACTTTTGTTCCCAACATGCAACGGTAACAAAATAACAAACACTTTTGGAAGAGCAATCAGATGATCAACAAGATTAATGTGCCAACAATACTATTGTAGTAGGGTTTTAAATTATTCCCAAGAGCAAGTGTTGTCGACAGACACAAGTTTTCTCCCATCTGGATTTTGTAAGTGTACCATCACGCCATCATGCATAGTCTCAGCTTTGATAAATTACTGCTACTTTCTCCAGCATACATACATGCATCTATTTTTTTAATATAAATATATTACATATATTAAACTTTTGTGGATAAACAAGAACACCAACATTCTCTCGTACAAGCACTGGTTTCTTAAATATAGGCTAATACAGCGTTATGGTTGAATATATAATTGTATGTAGCTCTTGACTTTACAGCACTGTGCATTTTTCTATATAACTAGATAGCACTCACTCCAACGACACCTGTAAAGTGTTCTTTATAACAAGATAAAATTCACTACAACGACACATGTAAAGTGTTCTTTACAATAAGATAAAACTCACTTTAACGACAACTGTATATTGTTTTTTATAACAAGATAAAACTCACTTTAACGACAACTGTAAACTGTTCTTTACATTCAAATAAAACTCACTCCAACGACACCTGTAAATTGTTCTTTACAATAAGATAAAACGCACTCCCACGACCCCTGTATATTGTTTTTTATAACAAGATAAAACTCACTCTCACAACACATGTAAACTTTTCTTTGCAGTAGGATAAAACTCACTTTAACGACACCTGTAAACTGTTCTTTATAACAAGATAAGTCTCACTCCAACGACACCAGTAAAGTGTTCTTTACAGTAACATAAAACTCGCTTCAATGACCCCTGTAGAGTGATCTTCTTGGTGTAGCAACGTTTCCATAAGAGACAATGTAAAGCAAAGTTATATATCCGTAGGAATGATTCATCGTAGTTTAAACAGTAAAACGATGTACAAGTAGATTTCACTATAAATAAGAAATAGTTATAGAAACAGCTATAAATGTACATCAGCAAAGTGGTAAACGAAGTAAAAAGAAACAAATAAGCTACTTATTTTTTCAGTTCCTTATCACAAAATAGTATTAGACAGGTGAACCAATCTTAAAAGTAGGATTGGTAAACAAAGCGGTTTATTAAGTTCATCGAAACGAACTTAATAGAAATTTTCATAATAGTAACATAAGGTTGTAGCAGCATCTGTCCATCCAGTTCATTATAGTAAGGTGAGGTTGTAGCAGCAGCTGTCGATCCAGTTCATTATAGTAAGGCGAGGTTGTAGCAGCATCTGTAGGTCCAGTACATTATAGTAAGGTGAGGTTGTAGCAGCATCTGTCCATCGACAGATGCTGCTACAACCTCACCTTACTATAATGAACTGGATCCAGTTCATTATAGTAAGG